CCCCAAAACCCCAAAACCCCAAAACCCCAAAACCCCTAAATATACAAATCTGATATATAATTTTAGGAGTTTAAGAACATGGCTAGAAGTACTGAAGAGTATGATACTAGGAGGATAAGGAGATATATGGAGGACAAGGGCTTCTGAGGGAAGCAGATTTTAAGCCCATAAGGAAATGATAAGGTAAGAAACGATCTGTGATGTTTAAGATACTCGTTCAAATAACTATTGGTCTAATCTTTTGATTCATTAAATTAAAAAATGTTTCTAATAAGAAAAATATACCAAAATCTCTTTGTTACCATAGACTTTGCGTATCTGTTCCTAAACCTTCCCTTTACCTACCCCAGGCTCCCTTGACTCTTCCCACTGCCTTCTAATCCTTTGTGAAGCCAAAATCACTAAAATCTCTACTGAGGTTTCCCCACATTCAAATTTAGGAATCCCAAAAGCAGGCTGGAAGCCAACACACAATACTTCAGACTCTATAACTTCCCTAAGACAGGCCAGCTTAAAGGAGACTTAAATAATAGTGAAGTTTATGAATCATTGACACTTAAAGCTCCAATTTTGGACATAAACTCCTCATCTACTTTTCCTGTCCTTTGTTCCTTTTGTCTGAAATACTCTTGGATCCTGAGTAGTGCTGAGTAGATTTCTGGACCATTACAGTCATTCTCTCCAAACATGTTTGGGTTCTTGTCGTTTATAATCCTGACTAGGTACGTTGCAGTATCCTTGCTCTCTTCTTCGTCGTAGAGCAATGGGAGAGAGTTTAGCAAAGACTTTATCAAGCTATTTGGGATATATGCGGGGTTTCTCTTAAATATTCACATTTTTATAATAAAGCTGAAATAGCATTATCCTTTGCTTCTCCTTTAAACTCACTCTGCATGGAAGGATCAATGAAACACTTGTTTACAATGTAGAAGATCTTGTCTTCGTGCTCTTGGAACAGCTCGTGATCCATTCTTTCTGTGACTTGGCCAAGAAAGTAGCAGACAGTTTGGATGAGCCCTCTTCCTTTGGCCAGAATCTCTTCAGACGCTTCATAAGCCTTATTTAGCATCATTACAATATTATCAGAGAAGAAACTTGGGTTCAGGTGGTCTAATCAGTCACAGAAGAAACAAAATGCTGTCTGGTATTCATCGTCGTGAATAGGCTCAGATGATATAATTTTGTAAAAACTTGGCAGGTACTTGTCAACCCACAGCTCTGTGAGTGTAAATTTGAACTTGGGCAATATCTTTCATAGAAGATTGCTGATTGCACCAAAGATCACACTATTGTCAGATAGCCTCTCCATTAACTCCATTGTGTCATACTCTGTAGTGAAGTTGCCTAGTTCTTCATAACTTTGAATTAAACTGTTTCTGTTGTCAATCCCAAACTTGAGAGCTCCCATTACTCCAGAACCGCTCTTAGTCAAGAAATCAGTGAGATCTGACAAATCTAAAGGAACGTATTTAGCTAAGCAATCTTCAAGGACATTAATTGCCCCTTCAATTCTGGAGATTTTGTCTCTACGTTTTACCAGCTTATCTAAATTATTGGTAAGGGTTGGAAGAATTCTAGTTCTGAATACTTCTGGCTTATCTCGGTCTTTTATCAACCCAAATATCTTGGGGATACCTTCAACCCCACTCTTAACAATTAGATTGTTGTATTTATACTCGGAATTCACTTGTAGAATATCTAATGTATCTGGGATACATGGCTCAAATATAGGGCCTAATTTCTCTGCTACATGAACCAAGGCCTCACAAGCACTCGCTCTTAAGAAGATCATGGCAGCGCTAATTGTAAGAGATCCGCTAAGCAGCCCATTTATTGTTGGATTATCTGTAAAAGTGTTATTTAGCATATTTCCGAACAAAGAATGTCCTTCTCCCTGAGTAATGACACTCTCAAAATCAGAGGTAGAGAGCTTCTTGTTGATATTCATCAATACTTCAATCATCGGGAGAGATTCTTCTTTCAGTACAATTGCTAGTCCAACCAATGCATTTAGTTCCGCCTTTATAATATCTTTCTGCCCTTCAGTAGCTTGATCAATTGCTCCTTCACAGAATTGAGTGATGTCTGTGAGAAATTTCTCAGTTATTTTCTTTGCAATAGGCCTTACTTGCATACACTTTATATGGTCATCAGAGATTGCATGCATCAAAAAGCCAATGGCTCTGCATCAATCCTCGACTATCTCATCTCCAAAGTGGTTTTCCCCGTTGATTACATTGGAATTTTCAGCCACTTGGAAGATCAAGGGAGCAATTTGGTCATAATACCTTGAATCAAACTTCTGGTCCTCACAAGGGTATTCTTCCTTATCATAAATACTCAAAAGTAAGTCAATTCAAGCAAGTCAGCTGACCTGGAATTCATTGATGAGACTCTTTGAATAAGGCACCTCTTCAGTAGAGTTAAGAGTGTCTCGAAGCATGGATATTAAGACTGGAAATACCCTATCCATATGGCTGTGGATTATGAATTTTGTCTTTTTGTCCTTCTCTTCAACTTCTTCATCATGTGAGTCCGCCAAACCTTTGAAAGTGTTAACCAATGCGGCTAAAGCAATTCCCTTGATCTTGAATTCAGTGCTGGTATCATCATCTGGAACGATTAGAGACATTAGTTTTGAGACGATTTCATCATGATGCTCTCGAGGTACTTCAGGGCTAAGAGCACTTATGAATAAAGCAAGTCACTTAATACCTGCTTCTTGGACTTGTGGGTGCTCATCAATCACTCCGGATGCAGCAAGTTGAAGGACCTCCTGCTTGTTCTCCTTAAATGCTTGTTTACATGCCTCGGATATTATTGATAATAATGAGTATCCTGCGTGTCTGATCTTCCAGTCTGGATCCTTAATAGAAGACTTGATTGCTTCTGTACAACTCTCTAAGATCAGAGACTGCCCGATCGAAGTTGAGAATTCATCAAGCTTACTGCTTGCTATCCCATATTTTAACGTCTCATCATTATATTGATTAATCTCTTCAGAAGATAAATGCAACCATTGCTCTTCCTCAGCAAGAGGAACATTACACAGAAGTGAGAAACAAGTTGTAAAGAATGTGTTGATGAACCTCTTACTCCTCCTCACTTCCACTTGAAATAATGATGCATAGGAGCATAGCAGCTCCAGAGCTTTATCAATGCAAGATGGCCGAGATTCTTCTTGCTCAATGATATCCGAAAATTCTAGCTGGAAATCTCCAGAAAATCTGTCCTAGGATTCCTGAGATCTTGTTGTTCTATCAGAAAATCGGTATTTCTTGATGGAAAATCGGCATCAGATGAAGGAAAAATGATGCCACTTTGTCTTCTAAAAGCTAAATCCTGATATATCTGTCAGAATTTGTCAGAAGAACTCCTCTTTCAGCTCTGTTTGGAAGTTTTGGGAAGCGAAGATATTCTCAAAACTCTCAAATACAGAATTGAGAAGATCTTCATTGCCTCTTCTCACAGAGAGGATCCTTGTGGATTTGCAAATGAGAGCTGAGATAACTTTCAGGCCTTCTTGAATTTCCCCAACATTAAGATCCATTGTGCACAAATAATCAAAAGTCTTTGAGATGATTGCCATCAAAGTTAAAGGGTTAATGTCCGAATCAATATTTCCAGCTAATTCCATCCCATTCTCAATGATAGCAGCCAATTTAGGTATTGATTGGGCTCAGATCATATCTAATGCTTCAGGCTGGACACAGATCAATTCGATCATTACTAGTCAATGGGAGGCAACCTTATCGACTTCATTGTTATCTTGAATACCAGATATGAGCGTCTCAATCTTCTCCAGAATCAAAGCTTCAGTAACAACATGGGGTAAATTTCGTTTCAAATCCATTCAGATATTCCTAACCGTCGATTGTATTGTAGAAGTAGGGATCCGACTAAAGAGATCATCAACCAATTGTAAAATATCTTGCTGTGTGAGAACTTGTGAACTCTTGCCTAAAAGATCATAGAGCCCTAAAAGAGCCTGCTGGGAGACATTTCCCTCATATTCCGGACATAAACTCAAGTAATAATGAGCTTTTAAAGTGCTCTTGAAATCCTTTTCAGCTAATGTCTGGATCCTGTCTCGAAGTTGGTCAATCTGGCCTGGCTCTGCCCTAGAAATCTCAATGAAGATTGATCTTAGCATAGGGATTAAGTCTTGTAAGAGGTCTGTAAAGTCTATTTGCACGATATGTTCCATATTTTATTTATTAAAATTTTCCAGACAAATAGCAGAATGAGGGGTTTTGGGGTTTTGGGGTTTTGGGGTTTTGGGGTTTTGGG